GGGGGTGAGAGCAGACTATTTTCAAAAATGTTGTTTTTTGGGACACCCTAATAAGCATATTAAGTCTGATTTAAATATTTCACATTATAAAAATTACGCACAAGGCCGGCGCGATAGGGTGTGTGTGTGTGGGGGGGGGGTCTCCCCCCCATCAATGATTTTTAGTCAGCAAACTGGACCCTTAGTCGGCAAATTGGACTTTTTTTGCCTTTGCAATCTTCTAGCATGTCTATGTGTTTGGCATGTGTGTGTTGTATGTACATTAAGTACACACACACACACATGCTTGACATAGACATACTAGAATAAAATGCAAAGACAAATTGTATAGACTTCCACGAGCAAAAGACTTAAACAAAAAAAAAGACTTGTCACACTTTGCGTGACAAATCGGTTGAACAGAGGCTTAATCTCAGAAGATTGTAGCACAAAGGCTACTCTACTTTTTACAATACCCCGTTCTTGTTTAAGTCGTCTGCATAGGATTTATCTCTGAAAATTTTAGATTTTGATCTTTATCAGCACCTCGTCAGTTTTTCTCCGAGTCGGTGCATTGAGATGCACGAGCCCTTTGCAGGGCCCTATTCTTGTTCGCCTAAGATTTTCCAGAGGTAATTATCATTGCTTTCTAACACGGATTCTGACTTAGAGGCGTTCAGTCATAATCCAACAGATGGTAGCTTCGCACCATTGCCTTTTCAAGCAAGTGCAAATGCCAATTGTCTGAATCTGCGGTTCCTCTCGTACTGAGCAGAATTACTATTGCAACAACACTTCATCAGTAGGGTAAAACTAACCTGTCTCACAACGGTCTAAACCCAGCTCACGTTTCCTATTAGTGGGTGAACAATCCAACACTTAGTGAATTCTGCTTCACAATGATAGGAAGAGCCGACATCGAAGGATCAAAAAGCAACGTCGCTATGAACGCTTGGCTGCCACAAGCCAGTTATCCCTGTGGTAACTTTTCTGACACCTCTAGCTTAAAACTCCTAAAGACTAAAGGATCGATAGGCCATGCTTTCACAGTTTGTATTCATACTGAAAATCAAAATCAAGTGAGCTAAGTCGATTGTCAATCGCCTGCCCAACTGCTCTCGTGAGCAAAGCTGGGCCAATCCACGAGCCATTCCTTCCCATTCCAACCCACAGCCCCCTGCGACGTGAGCCGAAGAGGCCGCGAGCCAGCCCAGGTCGGTGCCACTCGCTTCAAGTCTTAGCCCGACAGACCCAATCCTTAAAGCCAATCCTTTTCCCGAAGTTACGGATCTATTTAGCCAACTTCCCTTACCTACATTGTTCTATGGACCAGAGGCTGCTCACCTGCTGCGGTTATGAGTACGAACGAACGCGAAAATCAGTCTTTCCCTCGGATTTTCAAGGGCCGTCAGGAGCGCACCGGACACTACAAGAAGTGTAGTGCTTTACCGACCGTCAAACCATATCTCCTGGCAATCAGATTCCATGGTGTCAGGCCATTAACAAAAAAAGAGAACTCTTCCCAGGGCTCCTGCCGACGTCTCCGAGTTCAGTTGCGTTGCCGCACGTCTAGCGCCGAGACGCTAGAATATCCGCGTTCTGGTTCGGGAATATTAACCTGATTCCCTTTTGATAGTTGGGTCCGAGATCCAGGGTTGGCATTAAAAAACCCGCCCAAAAAAACCCGCCCAATAAAACCCAAAAAAACCCGCCTAAAAAAACCCAATAAAACCCTGGAAAATCTGGGTTTTATTGGGTTTTTTTAAAGATATTTAATAAGTTTATGAACTATTGTAACCAACTTTAACATTATAACTATAATATTATTTACTAAAATAATTATTAACTATTATTATTAACTTAATTATTATTAACTATTATTATTAACTATTATAACCAACAATAACAGCTATCAGAGCAGGTTTACTATTATTTGAATCATTATTTGGAAATACATTATTACAATTTTTATTCAAATATTTTTATCGATTGAGATTTTTATTACTTTATGTTGTTCACCTCCCAAGTTAAATTTAAATGAGTAGTAGTGACCAGAGAAGCCAACACAACAGTCGAGGAGGCTACCTTGTTGTGGTTACAACCCTTCTCAACTCTTTTGCGGTAGTGGTGTTGTGGTAGAGCGCTCACTTCATAAGTGAGAGGTTCTGAGTTCAATCCCCACCACGTCCCTGGCAGTACCGCGCTCAACTCCTTTATCCGCGCAGCGGCCTTGTTTGTCAAGGTTCGTGTTTCGGAGTTATAGAGTTGAGAGAGGGTTATAACCACAAATAAGTAGCCTCCTCGCCTGTAGTTTTGACATATGGTCATAAGCTTTGAGGAGGTGAATTGATTTAAAAAAAAAAAAAAAACTCTTTAACTCCTAAACACGAATCTTTATAAACAAGGCCGCTGCGCAGAGGAACAAGTTTGTTTATTTGAATTTCAAGTTCAAAGTTTAATTGAAACTTCAGTTACTACCTCCCATTCTCAAGCCTTCTTTTTCACATTTTCTCATTGACATTTTTAATTATATATAATAATACTTTTAAATTTAAAATAAATCAATACATATAGATTAAGAGTGAAATTTTTTTTTTCTATTACAGTTTTAAATTATATTTAAAAATCTTTTTCAAAATAATTTGAAAAATTCTTGTTATAAATAATTAAACAACAATATATTAAATATATTTTAAATAAAGTTAAAGTAGAAAAAAACTAATTTTCAATATCATTAAACAAAAACACAAAAAATTTTTTACAGAGACAAAATAAAAATTAAACCCAAAAAAACCCAAATTTACCCAATAAAACCCAAAAAAACCCACTGGGCCGGGTTTTTTTAAAAAAACCCGGGTTTTTGCCAACCCTGCCGAGATCGGACACTTTGAAACGGAGTTTCCCTATCTCTTAGGATCAACTAACCCATGTCCAACTGCTGTTCACATGGAACCTTTCTCCACTTCGGTCTTCAAAGTTCTCATTTGAATATTTGCTACTACCACCAAGATCTGCACTAGAGATCGTTTCACCCAGGCTCACGCCAAAGGCTGCGTCGCGACCCCCACGCCCTCCTACTCGTCAAAGCTTAGCCGTTTGCCTTGACGGCAGAGTATAGGCACGACGCTTGAGCGCCCTCCATTTTCAGGGCTAGTTGATTCGGCAGGTGTGTTGTTACACACTCCTTAGCGGGTTCCAACTTCCATGGCCACCGTCCTGCTGTCTGGATCAACCAACACCTTTTGTGGGGTCTGATGAGCGTCGATTTAGGCGCCTTAACTCTGCGTTTGGTTCATCCCGCATCGCTAGTTCTGCTTACTAAAATTGGCCCACTAAGAACTCTCATTCTGTGCCCTACTTCAATCGAGCAAGTCGGGCTTCTTACCAATTTAAAGTTTGAGAATAGGTTAAGGTTGTTTCAACCCTAAGGCCTCTAATAATTCGCTTTACCTAATAAAACTGTTGCAACTTCCAGCTATCCTAAGGGAAACTTCGGAGGGAACCAGCTAGATTAGTCTTTCGCCCCTATACTCAAGTTTGACGATCGATTTGCACGTCAGAATTGCTACGAGCCTCCACCAGAGTTTCCTCTGGCTTCACCCTACTCAAGCATAGTTCACCATCTTTCGGGTCCCAACAGATGTGCTCTTACTCAAACCTTTCTAAGAGTAGAATAGGTCGGTCAATGATGCGCTCACCGCATTGGAGTGCGGCAAGATCTCACTTCAGCTTTTGCAGGCCTTTACTTTCATTGTGCCCGAGGGTTTCAGTCACCTGAAGACTCGCACACATGTTAGACTCCTTGGTCCGTGTTTCAAGACAGGTCGCATGAAATCATATGACCGCCAACAACTTGGGCACAAAGCGTGTGCCGATCTCGCCGTCAAAAGCAATCACCAGCAGTTCGAGCGCAAGCAGTCCGCCCTGATCGACAAGCAACTGGAACAGCGAGCAACCAGCTGCCCTCGCGAAAGGGCAGCGCGTGCTGCAAATACCCTGTCTACCTCTGACTCCTCTGTCGAAGCCGAGATCGCCATCGCGATTTATAACACCAACCCGAAAGCTGGCCACCTTGCCGCGAGGCTTCTCTCCCGGCTCCAACAGTTGTTGACGCGCGCTGCCTAAAAATGCGACGAGTCACAGCCTCTGAAACAAGCGCCGGCTGTTTGTTTGGATCAGCACAACGCTGTGTAGAGACTGCAGCACGTCTGAATTTCGACAGCGCATTGCTAAAACCATGCGCTTCCCTTTTAACGGTTTCACATACTATTAACTTTCTTTTCAAAGTGCTTTTCATCTTTCCCTCATGGTACTTGTTCGCTATCGGTCTCGTGCCAATATTTAGCTTTAGAAGGAGTTTACCTCCCATTTTGGGCTGCATTCCCAAACAACCCGACTCATAGAAAGCGCTTCGTGGTCGGTTCTCAACGCCACACACGGGATTGTCACCCTCTGCAATGTGCCGTTCCAAGCAACTTGAGCGTTGATAGTCCGCTTTGACAGCGCTTCTCGAGACTACAATTCGCTGTCCCTAAAGAGACAGAGATTTTAAGTTTGAGCTCAACCCGCTTCACTCGCCATTACTAGGGGAATCCTTGTTAGTTTCTTTTCCTCCGCTTATCAATATGCTTAAATTCAGCGGGTAGTCTTGTCTGATCTGAGGTCAAAGATAGAAAAACTGCAAGCGTTGCTTTTCCCCTTTTTTTTCTACAATACTACTACTGCGGAGAGGAGAGAAAACAAGCACTTTGCAAAGCCACAACAAAACCCATCTAGCTAAAAGCTTGTTAAGGCAACTTCCACTGACGTTTTCGTTTCTTGTTGCACTCCTACGGCAACGAAAGGACAAAAGCAAGTTGAGCCTTCCGTAAAAGAGAAGTACAAAAAATCAACGAACGAAGCTGCCCCGCCGTTTTTTACCACAGCAACTTTTATCGGGTTCAGACACACGAGAAGGCACGCATCGTTTGGCACGTGGCCTCCCTCAGCTTTCCACGCCTAAGCGTGTTAGACTTTTAACACGACGCTCAGACAGGCATGCTCACTGGGAACTCCAGTGAGCGCAATTTGCGTTCGAAGATTCGATGATTCACTGAATTCTGCAATTCACACTACTTATCGCAACTGGCTATGTTCTTCATCGATGCACGAGCCTAGAGATCCACCGTTAAAAGTTGTCACTGACATTCATTTTTTCTTTTGTAACCGTCTTTTCCTCCTCTTGTTCAGAGAAGAAAAAAATTGAGCCAACAAATAAACCAACTAGCATTTGTTAAGTGACAACAACCCAACAGGACGCACGCCGAACGAAATACGGCAACAAAAAGGGCAGCGCTGTGCGTGCAGACAAGCGATGTCCCACAGACAAGCGGCCTTTTAAAACGGGCTACTGACAGTCAGCTCTCGTTGACCCTTTTTGTAAGCGCAAACTTTCGTTCAAACGTGCTTCGAAACAGTTCAGAGTGAGCAAAACTTATTAACACGACTGTGTGTCAAACCATCAGTAATAATCCTTTCGCAGGTTCACCTACGGAAACCTTGTTACGACTTTTACTTCCTCTAAATGATCAAATTTGCAACTTCTCGGTCTTCAGCAACAACCGTGAAGTCGCGCTGACGCCAATCCGGAGATCTAACTAAACCATTCAATCGGTAGTAGCGACGGGCGGTGTGTACAAAGGGCAAGGACGTAATCAAAGCGAGCTGATGACTCGCGCTTACTAGGAATTCCTCGTTCATGATCAATAATTGCAATAATCAATCCCCATCATGTCGAACTTTCATAAGATTACCCGAACCTTTCGGTTAAGGATAAGACTCGCTGCATTCGACAGTGTAGCGCGCGTGCGGCCCAGAACATCTAAGGGCATCACAGACCTGTTATTGCCTTCCTGACTTTGGTTAAACACCAACAGTCCCTCTAAGAAGTCAGTCACGGTTCGGGAACTGTGTGACTATTTAGCCGGTTAAGGTCTTGTTTGTTAACGGAATTAACCAGACAAATCACTCCACCAACTAAGAAGGTGCCAACGCCGAGCAATCTCAAAGCGCTGTTCCCTTCAAAGGATCATATGGACAAGAGATTTTATCCTCACATAAGTGACAAAGCGTGGGTTTCTCTAGCAAATTATCATGTTAGTCGACGACAAACTGTTGGCCGGCGCTAGGCGGTCCAAGGTCTGCCGAAGACCGATAACCTACAAGAGTTGACTGGCGGTTAAAAACTGACTCAACAGCGGCGTTGGATTACCTCCAACTAATTAGTTCGCTCCCATGGATCACCTTCACATATTATACCAGGTGTTGTACCCACCGCACGCGAATCCGCGTAAGTCGTCTGGAAAGTCAGCTCCACTGATCATACTCCCGACCGTCTTGACATGCACTCATCGAGCTAAGCGTTTAGCTGTCATACGTGCAGCAAGTTGCCTTACGAGCTTGTGCATCATTATTCCAACTACCTCGGGCATTCACCGCAAATTTCTAAGTCTCGATCCCGAAAGATGTTGTCTTATAATTTGGGCGCTTTCATTACATGCAATTATTTGTAACGGTCTTCCGACCTTGGCCAGTTTCAACTTGCTAAGTATCCGCTGGGTTTTACGCGTAATTGTTCCAATCTGTAATACTGTCAATACTGCAATCCCTACAACTGATATTTCATTAGCACTTCTGCCGTTATTCCCCTCAAGTTCTTGAGTCCAACTCCTATCAAGCCTGAGTGGCTCGTACTTAGCAACTTTTGCATCTTCGCATTGACTTAGGTGTCTTTCCGATTTCTCGTACGGACATGCCATATCGATGACAGTAATTACACCATCATCTTTCACAACAATATCGGGCTTATAACGCCTGCCATTCCTAGAGAGACACATCCTCTCGCGCCACACCCGTCTGCTTGGCCCACCATTGAGTCTTAGCTCTTTGGCAAGTTTATCACAAAGCAAGTTATGACATTTCGAGTATGCATCCCGACTGGTAGGACATCCGGCCAAGATGTGACAATCAGTTTCTGCTGTTAAACCACAACACCAACATTTTTTGAGAGTCTGGTTGGCTACGCCCCTAGACAGATTGATCTTTGTTGGTAAGATGCCGACAGGGTCATAAAATAACGCCTGCTGATCCCTAGTCGACATCGTTTATGGTTAGAACTAGGACGGTATCTGATTGTCTTCGATCCTCTAACTTTCGTTCTTGATTAATGAAAACACTCTTGGCAAGTGCTTTCGCAGTTGTTTGTCTTTCGCAAATCCAAGAATTTCACCTCTGACAACGAAATACAGATGCCCCCGTTTGTCCCTCTTAATCATTACTTCGGTCCTAGAAACCAACAAAATAAAACCAAAGTCCTATTCCATTATTCCATGCTCATGTATTCAAGCGAAAGCCTGCTTTGAACACTCTAATTTTTTCAAAGTAAACGTCACAAATCTGACAAGCACACAGCGAAGTGCACCTGCAGTCTTTGAAAAGAAGAACAGACCCGCCAGTAGCTCACCTTGCGGTGGACCGACGGGCCCGCTCCGAAATCCAACTACGAGCTTTTTAACTGCAGCAACTTTAATATACGCTATTGGAGCTGGAATTACCGCGGCTGCTGGCACCAGACTTGCCCTCCAATTGATCCTCGTTAAAGGATTTAAATTGTTCTCATTCCGATTGCGAGACCTATAAAGGCCCCGTACCGTTATTTCTTGTCACTACCTCCCCAAATCGGGATTGGGTAATTTTCGTGCCTGCTGCCTTCCTTAGATGTGGTAGCCGTTTCTCAGGCTCCCTCTCCGGAAACGAACCCTAATTCTCCGTCACCCTTTGCAACCATGGTAAGCCACTATTTTACCGTCGACAGTTGATAGGGCAGAAATTTGAATGAAACATCGCCGGCGCAAGGCCATGCGATTCGAAAAGTTATCATGAATCACCAAGCAAGCGGACCGAGGCCCGCATTGGTTTTTAGTCTAATAAATACATCCCTTCCGTGAAGTCGGGATCTTTTGCATGTATTAGCTCTAGAATTACCACAGGTATCCATGTAGTAAGGTACAATCAAATAAACAATAACTGATTTAATGAGCCATTCGCAGTTTCACAGTACAAGTGCTTATACTTAGACATGCATGGCTTAATCTTTGAGACATACATATGACTACTGGCAGGATCAACCAGGTAACTAAAGCCTACAGGGCGCGGAGCGACAAGCCGGCTTGCTGCTACCCTTCACACCGCAAGCGACGGAGCAAACAGCCAAGGAACACAACGAGTCTCTTAAACGTGTGAACCTAACCTCTATCATGCAAACCATCGCATTCGCCTTTGACAATACGAAGTTTGCCTGTCAAGTTTTTTCTTTGCAAGTTTCAACTCTATACTGTGCGAAACAGATCAACACAATGTACAGAGAGAAGCTCTTGCTGACCCACTGGATAAAGCGGATACACGCACACCTTACCCTGAGCGCTTAGAATCGAAAATATCGGAAAAAAATTTTTTTTTTTTTTTCGGAAGTTTTTTTCGACTTCAACACTCTCTATATATATGAAGAGTTATTTGGGGGAAAGTTTAAACGCGATTTTTACTTCAAAAAAGTCCAAAATTTTGAAAAAATTTCAAAGTCAAAAAAAAAAAAAAAAAATTTTATTTCTTAGAGACTGATGATTGTCTGACAATTTTATTGACAAAAAATTTTTTTTTTTAGACTATGACCCATATTAGACCCTCTAGCAGTGGCGAGTACAAAGAAAACAGTGCGTAAACCTAACAAACGACGAGAAGATTGAGCGTCTTGATGCTTTAACCGTACTAGATAGTTTTTTATATCACTGGGAGTAGTTTCAAACTATAGAGAGCTCTAAAAACAATCTCTAACATGTTCGTATGATAGCCAAACACCTAGTTTTGCCCTTAGAGTTGCTGTTGAGGCTAGGAAAGAACAGCAAAAAGTGAAAAACTTGAGTGTGAATGGTGTTTGTTTTTATTGCGCTAGCTTGCCTAGGTGGTAGCTCATAAAAAAATAAGTGTGGGGACCTTTCTCACTTCATCTAGATTGATTTTTACTCAGTTAAGTGGTGCCAAAGGCCTTGCGGAGTGCTGTGGAGACCACCAAAATGTGAAAAACGGATAAGAGTGAACAAGCTGGACAAGCTGGACGTTTTAGACTATTAGTCGGCAAATGTCGACCCTTTCGATATAGGTTAGACAGTCGGTAAATGTCGTCACGACAGTCTGCAAATTTTGGAAAGCGAGGACTTTTTTTTTTTTTTAAGTCGGCAAAAGTTGTAATGGCACCCCCCCCCCCACGTGACACCTACTCGCGCCGGCCCTGATTACGCATATTCAGTTTGTTTACAAAAAAAACACTTTTATTGGTATGTATTTAACCGAATAATTTAAATGACAGAACAGATAAAATGGAGGATTTGTGTTTTTCATTTAGATTTCAAATTCACATTAAAAATGAAATGTGGTAGTACTTTGTGCTACATAAACACTTTCATAACAAAAAATGATTTTTATAGTAAAAGGAACAATATTTTATGCAGCCACTAGTAAAATTAATTTTTTGAAAAATTTATGTGGGACTGTGGCCTGCCCATATATATATATACATAAGAAGTTAGTTGGCCCTGATATATATATATATATACATAAGAAGTTAGTTTGATGCATTTAAAAAGAAAAAAAACATTATAGAGCTGTATACAGCCATCATTTAATTACAACTTTTATTATGTGGAATTTTTTTTTAAACGCTGCAAACAAAATATAAAAGGGAAAACTAATTGTGTAAGTTAAATTGTTTTAAAACTTTTAAGTGAGTGCAGACATTCATTATTCAAATCTTTTTAAAACCTTTAAACAAAAGATCTAACTCCAAAAATATTTTTAAAGCTCAAAAATTCATCCATAAGATTTTTACTTCTAAAAAAACGTTGTTTAAAAAAAATCTTCAATTAAAATTATAAATAAGAATTTCTAATTTGACTAACATTTATATATATATATATATATATATATATATATATATATATATATATATATATATATATATATATATATATATATATATATATATATATATATAATAAAAGTTTTTAAAAATGATTTTTAAATAAAAACCATTCAGTTCTCTTTATTTAATAATAGTTAAAAAATCATTTAGGCTCCACACTTACGACAGGTTTCTAAATGATACTGAGTACTTCTATTTTGATATTATCATTAGAAAGAAGGAAACACTAGAAAGGGTTATTATCATTAGAAAGAAGGAACCACTAGGAAGTGATATTAACATTAGAAAGAAGGAACCACTAGGAAGTGATATTACTATTTAGAGGATTACCATTCAAGGTTTAGAAGCTCCTCTAATCTTTTCTCAAAATAAAGGATTTTATATTAGAGTTTTTCTCTCTCCTAGTTTTTTTCTCTCTCCTAGTCGCCTTTACCATGGCTCATCAACTGCCATAATAAAGGATCAGTTTTATATTGTGGCCTGGATATGTGCTATTTAAAAAAATTATGGTCTTTCAATGAACTATTTTATAAAATTAATGAATGCAAAAAATGTTGTTTACAATATTATAAAAAGGAACTTTTATCCCCTTATTATTTATAGTTTCTAATTTTAAAGGGGAATGTGATTCAAATATGATTGTATCTATCATTTAAATTTTATTAATATGTATACCTCATTTTTGAAAAACACCGTTGCATAAGATTTACTTGATTAGAGAGCTTCTCCACACTGCTTGAAAGAAAGTTTTCTTTCTCTAGCTAAAATAAAATTTTAAATAAAAAACTGTTATAACAATAATAATATGAAAAAGTCAAACAAATTAAAAGTCACTTTTTTAAATGTTCAACTTATGATTTTCTCTCATCTAAGTATAAAATAATATAGTATAAAGGATAAGCATGAAATATTATTAAAATGATGCATGTAATATTGGTAGTAATAATTCTCAGAATTCAATATGCAACTAACATCATAGATGGGTGGAGAAAATACCAGTTTTGCAGTAGTCATTGATGCATAACATATTAAAGCAGTAATCAAGTACAAGGTATGCAATTTTCAAAAAACAGTGTATGAGAAACAGATAACAATGAATCAGGAATTGCATTATATGGTACAGTATAATCTATTAATTAGCACCTAGTATTGCTAAAACATAAAAAATAGTAGTTCATTTCGTGCTTTTTAGATAAAAGTTCATCAAACTACAGTACAGGAGCATGGGGTTGATAAAAAGTCATAACCCTATTCAGCACTCAAACTGCTTTTCTGTGGCTTTGTGTTTTAGAGTTTAGAGAGCTGAGAGTTGCAAATAAAACTATTTAAGAGTAATCTCTTTGACTGTAGTTCAGTCTTACATCCTTATAAAAATAAATTACTGTCAGCAGCTTGTACATGCACAAAAACAGCTTAGGCAAAGAAAAAAAAATTTGAAGATGCTATGTATAGAAGTGATCTTAAAATAAAAGGGTTTCACAATTGTTGTCTTTGCAGAAGCTCAAGTCCACATTTTTTTATCTACCAAAAGTTGCTTCTCGACATTGTCCTGGAATTTATACTTTCTATTCATTGATAGAAACTTATCATAGATGTATATTCTATTGCAATACTTTTAGGCAACAATAATACATAATAATAGCAGATGGCAAGCAATATTTAACAATTTGTTAGTCATAGTTATAAACATGGAAAACAAAATTACTTTTGAATTTGAAAACATTTTGAATTGAAGAAACTTTGAATTATTTTTCATGAATTGATTAGTAACACCTAAAAATTACAATTTACCACAAACCATCCTAGCACTTTCTGGAATGAGAATTGAACTATGAGCAGAAAACAATGCTTTAACTAAAAGCAATGTTAGCGCAAGAATTGTCATCAATCATCAAAAAATCTGATAATGGTAACCATGCTCATAATAATGAAAAACCATTTATTTGTTAAAAGTTTTAATTTTTTAAAAAATTGGGGAAATTGGTAAAATGTAGAAATGCAGAAATGTTCAACAAGTAAAGTGAAAGAATATAGTGTAAAATAGGAGCTTGGGGGCTTCAGTACATATATTGAGTGATTTAGGGAGAACATGCAAAGGAGTGCTGTTACATTGACAGAGGATTTTTTTCTTTAATCATGTATCTTACCTGTTCAAAACTCCTGCATTTCCGCAAATGTGGTTAATTACTCACTATTTCAATACATTTTCAAAATTGTGAAATAGTAACTAATAGTTATCCAAATTTGAAAAACACATTTTCAAAATTTGAAAAACACATTTTCAAAATTTGAAAAACACATTTTCAAAATTGTGAAATAGAAACCAATAATTAACCAAATTTGAAAAACACATTTTCGAAATTTGAAAAACACATTTTTAAAATTGTAAAATAATAACCAATAATTAGCCAAATAGCTATTTTATTTACAACTGTTTAATATCAACAAAAAATAAAATCAGCAGAACATTTTTTCCTTCAGCAAATTCCTAGCAATCATATATTACAAAAATCTATTTAAAAAAATAATAATAAATTACTTTGGAATCATGAAAATGATCTAACAAGTCCACAGCTTCATCCATTGTTGCACAATTTGACCAAGAAGCAAGCAAGACAAGATTTTTAAGAGGACTTAAACAAGGAGAAGATAACAAAGAAGCTGCACACTTATGTTGACCCTCACTTACTAAATAAAAACAAGTATCCTAAAAAAAAAAAACAGTAATTAGTAAAAAATTCAAAACTCCCAAAATGTTTTTAAAGCTCAATAATTCATCCATAAAAATTTTACGTCAAAAAAAAAATGTTATTTAAAAAAAACCTTTAACTAAATTTATAAATTAAAAAAAAACATTCAATTAATTTTATAAATTAAAACTAATAACTAAATTGACTAATATTTAAAAATTCATAAACTTTTAAATTTATTTATACAACTATTTAAAAAAAAAAAAATAAAAAAAAAATATTTTAACCTTTTTAATTGTAGTAGTAGGCTAAAATATTTTTAAACCTTTGCAGCTGTGCATATTAGAGTAGTAATATATAATGTAACTATGTAGTCGTAAATCTACCTACACACTGACAGAAGCTCCAGGCCAAATTTGGCTTTTTATAAATTCAGATTCTTTTTATAAATTCAGGTTCAGCTTGAGTAGTCAGTGGTAGAGAGTTACTGGCTTAAGATATTTTTATTAATTAAAATAAAAAATTATTTCTATTTTATAATATTAGAAATATTCAATAATTGCAACCATGAAAAATAATCTTAAACTTTCACACATTTTAAACAAAAATAGATGTAAAATAAAAAAACTAAACTTTTAAATCATTTGTTTATAAATTTTTTAATGAAAAATTAATTAAAAAAGTCAAGGGAAATCTCAATTTAAAGCATTCTATTCATAAAAAAAAAAAAAAAAAAAAAAAAAAAAGTGTAATAAAAATTTTAAACATTTTCATCATTAATAGTGCAATTTCTAATTTTTGTGCAAATTAATTAGTGTAAATTAGTTTTGAAACTGTAAGTTTTATTGTGCTGATTCTAATTTGATAATCTAAGTTTTAAAACTGTTTTATTTTGCAATATCAACCATTTAAGACTGCTGCTAATTATTTGCTACTTGAGTAAAATTAAAAAAAGAAATTTTTTTTTTCATTTAATATATATATATATATATATATATATATATATATATATATATATATATATATATATATATATATATATATATATATATATATATATATATATATATATATATATATATATATATATATATATATATATATATATATATATATATTAGGGTATATCATACTAGAGCCAAAAATTTAATTTTTAGAATTTTGACTAGCACGCTTGGATTCCTATGTATTTGGGTATAGGGAATTCAAATATAATAATATTTTTACAAAATATTGATGTCTAGCTACCGGGAAACGAGTTTTAAAATTAGGTTTTTTTTTCAAAAATTAGTCTATTTTAACTAAAGCTTAATTTTGGAAAGGTTTTAGTCAATTAATACTAAAAATTACAATTATATTAGGTAAAAAGTAAACTATGTGAAATAAAACAGATATAATTATTATTTAACTTCCAGGATTCTAGATCCAGAGTGCAAAAAAAGGGCTACGGCTCCCCCCCCCCCTTTTTTTTTCAATATTTGATAGTTTTATTATGATTATAAGATCAAGGTATATTACAATTATATATATATATATATATATATATATATATATATATATATATATATATATATATATATATATATATATATATATATATATATATATACCCACACGCAGGATTAGGAGCAAGGGGAGAATGCGTAGGGCAAAAGCCCCCTCCCCTCAAACTTACTCAAAATACCCGTTTAAATTAAAAATCTTGCTGTTGTTTTTTTGCTACAAATTTTCTTTTCAGCCCCCTAACATTCTTTTAAGATCAACATAAAAAACAAGAATTTTTTCAAACATTTAATGTCATGCACAACAAAGTTTAAATAAAATCAAAAAATACCAAATTAGTAATTAAATAAGCTACTGAAAGTCTTTTTTTGACTTAAACAAAGGCATTAGTTCACGATTTCGCAAATGTGTTCTAATAAAACCATCTCTTTTATCCCAACCACAGACTGACTCAGCTGCTTCTGTGACTAATTTGACTGCTCTCTCGCAACTTTGAGTATGTAATGAGTATGGAGGTAGCTGCAGGGGAGAAACTATCAATGCATTGAGTTGGACTAACGACATATTTGTAGTGAAAATTGGTTCAGTAACAACCTCTTTTTTCCAATCATAAGTTCTTTAATGTCACATGCATCAAGGTTTATTGTTTGTGGAACTTTAAAAGGTCTAACATCATTTGAGCCCAGCTCACTTCCTTTCCTAACGGCCAATATTGTGTCGACTGCAAATAACCTTTGTTCTGAGTTATCAGAACAGTGAAGCGAGACAAGTATATTCTCAGGATGAGCCCACCAAAATTCATTTCTGAGATAAAGTTTAGATGCTTCTTTAATCCTATCATCTTGCTTCTGCCAAAGTCGAAACAGCTTTAAAAGATGACAAGAACCGTATTTAATGTCATGCTTTACTTTAATCTCAAAGAACATTGGAAGATAAACCTGAGTCACCCAAGTTGCAAGCAGTCTTAAGATCTCTGCATTAACAGGTTCAAGATCATGCTTACTCATATAGAGAAGCAAGCATTTCATGCCACAAGTAAGCCATCGACTGTGAGACAGTCTACCACATTTAAGAGCTTCTACTTCAAGATCAAGCTTTCCTTTCAGAATTGCATTCAAGTACTTCCATGCAACTAAACTGTCAGTGCTCATTTGCTTTAAGAAATCTTCACTGATATTAACAAGAGGCTCCAGAAGCGAAATAGGAGTAAATTGAGTAATTCTTTTAAGGTTATCAACTTTGGAAAATAGTTTACCTACTGCTCCACACCATCCTTTATCTGAAGAAGTTGGTCCATCAAGTTTTTCAACAATATGACGGAATGGAAGCTCATTAATGTAAAGCCAGCAAAAAGATCTAAAAAGTTTTCAATTGAGAAGTTCTTCCACAAAATGAATCATTCCACCTTTCCATCCAGACATTTCATTTGTAGTATCACTGCCAATTAGTTGGAGATTAAGATCTTTACCTCTTTGCATTAACCAGTTGAATAATCCAATAGCACATTGCTTAGCTGGTTTAGATGTTTCTGACTTAGGCTTTGGTGTATAATGAGTAAGGTAACAACCTCTAGGTTCTTCTGTCACAGTTATATGATTTCTTTGATAATTTTTTTTCTGAAGGTGCCTGTGGTTTTATCATGGATAAGAATTAAAGTTTTGTCTTTTCTACCATCAACAAAAATTCCAGTGATTATATTTCTTTCATAGTCGAAATTTTCTTCTATTCTGGAATACTTCATAGCACGCTCTTTGGCACGAAAAACTTTCATGCTATCACATATAAGATTTTTTTTATCTTCAACAAGTTTACCTGCTTTCATAATATCTTTCAGTAGACCATTAATGATTGCAGCAGTAGCAGTCGATGATACACCAAATCTAACAGAAGCAACGGCAGCATTACTAATATCAAGGTAGTTTCACTTCACATAATTATCTTGCTTTTCTATGGTCGAGTCCTCTTTGCTATAACTGACTATATCACTATCACTAACTTTATCGATATCACTGACTTCTTCACTATCACTGACTATCACATCATTTGAATTATTATGCATTTCTATTGTAACATCCACATTTTCAACATCAAATCTAACAGCCGGTGGATAAAATGTTTCTAATGACTCTAACTTAGATTTTGAAGCTTCTTCTCGTTGTCGTGCGAGTCTTGCTTGATCGATTGACTTGCGTAAGTGTTTTAACCTAAGTTTGGCAGTCTCTTTAACATCCAAACCAAATTCTTGCATAGATGAAATACTGCCTTGTTTTTCTCGCTGGTTTTTTATCCAAATAAGCTCTTTTTGAGGAATTCTTAAATTTAAGTCACATTTGCAAAGGCAATGAGTACCGCTATCACAAGATTCTTTGCAAGGAGGATCATTCTCACTGCAGTAAACAATTCTGCATTTGCAAAGAGCAATATCTAAAAGTTTATCAAGCTTAGGCTCCCAGTGTTTTATGTAAGATTTTTGAGATTTGTTTCGAGCTATCTTAGAGAATACAGACCAACTTCTACTGAGTCTTAGTGTTATTCCTTTTGTTTCAAAAACTATGGGTTCTTTAAATTCTGTGTTGGAAATAAGCCATCGTTCTGCAACCTCATAAGCAACATTAGAAAAAATTTCTTGCATTGATAAATTACGCTGATTTTTTTCATAGACTAGTATTCTGTCTCGCTGCAGATCCAGACAACGCTGTAAACAGTCACGTAAGGTTGGAAATTCAGTTTGGAGGAACTTTCTAGGACCTCCAAGATACTCACTTAGTTTGGTGTTAATCGATTTTCTGGTTTTCTTGCTAACTAATAACGCCATTTTTCTTTTTTTAATATATTATGAGTCTGAATGATATAAAGGCAGCAATAAGAGCAATTAATTTGAAATTAAATTTAAATAGTAATTATAATATTTATAAGGTATATTTGTATATTAACTGATGCTTATACATAAAATAATTTTTAAAAAAACTCAAAACATATTATCAAAATTAAGCATAGGGCTAAACAGTATTTTAAATAATTATTATGTACATTTATAGCATAAATAGTCAATAATTAGAAAAAAACACAATATTTTTGGAAAATTAAAAACGTTTTCCCGGTAGCAAGACTTGTTTTTTCACTAAAAAAATTTATACCATTCAACTCAGGGTATATGAATACATAGGAAAAGTGATGTACTGAATGAAATTCATAACATGAAAAAGTATGATATACCCTAATATATATATATATATATATATATATATATATATAATATATATATATATATATATATATATATATATATATATATAAAATAAACAAAACATATGAAAAAATTAACTTTACTTTGATAAATATATTTGTTACAAAATATGTATGCTAGAAATAAGTATACATATTTTCAAAAAATATAACGAAATTAAGGCTCTTGAAAAGTCTAAATTTATATTTATATAAAAAAAAGTTTTTTTTTTCAATGCCAGGTTTTTTGTTAATAGATTGTGGTGTATTCAATAAGCAAGCAAAAATTAATGAGAAACTTTTAATAAAATGATAATTTAAATCAGTTTTTTAATTTAGTATTTGTTTAACATGTGTGTGTGTAGTACGTAAATTTTAATAAATGCATTATTTGAATCAATAATTTAATTTTGTATTTGTTAAAGGTATATGCGTAATACCGAAATTTTGCATTTGTTAAAGATGTGTGTGTAGTAGTCAAATTCTAATAAAGTAATTATTTAAATCAATAATTTAGTTTTGTATTTGTTAAAGGTATTTGTGTAATAAATTTTGCAATAGTATTCTAACCAACCATTCTTTTTGAGTTATTTTGTATTGAATATTTTTATAGTTTATTGAAAAATATATTTTTGCTAGAGTTTTCATTACTGCAAAGATTAACAATTTTCAGACAATAACATACCATTTTATTAACTAATTATATAATAAAAATAGATAAAAAAAAAATACAAAATATAAATAATAATATTTAGCTATAACAAAAAACAATTAAGCTGATGCTTGGATTTAACTGGATTGATTTTTAATATTATTTAAGCACAATAAATAAGATAAATACAACTTGCTTTGTTTCAAACTCTAAATGAAATTGAATGAACCTTAACCACTGGTCTAGAATTAAATCTAAAATTTAAGTAAGGTGTATGTCTTAAATGTTTAATCTAAAAGTATGATATCATTTAGGAAAAGTTAAAAAGTGTAGAAAATTATTAGTAAGTGAGTGTAAAAAATTGAATGTAGTAAGTGAGTGTAAAAAATTTAATGTAGTAAGTGAGTGTACAAAAATATTTTAACTTTTTAAATAGAGATAAATGAAATCTTGTTGATATGCAAGAAAAAATCATGTAGTATTTGGCCAAATTTTTTACAAAAATTTATTTTGTTGTGAATCAATTGGTAAACCTACCTTAGATGTCGATTATTTTAAATTTTAATTGGTGGATAATAACTTTTCTGCTTTTTACCAACTTATTTTTTATTTAAAAAAAAAAATTATTATTAAAAGTACAACAATATTTTTAAAACCAAATATTAATTAAAAATAAATGACTTACCAGAATATTTTGCAAAAGAAGAAGTTTTTTATCGATACACAATAAAACTAACAAAAACCAGTCATCCCTATTTGGATAACCAATCGCTCTAGCTATGATTTCTGCAAGTTCTATACTGCCAGGGTCATTGTTTATTGGTTTCACTGATGCTAAAATAAAATCTTGAACTTGGATATCAATAAACTGAACAAGCTTAAATTTTGTAACTAATGAAACAGATAAACTGTCGACCACCCCAAATTTATTTTGCTTCAATAACTCATAAAGAAATTTCTTCAAAATGTCCATTTGATTTTTGTCATTATAATCTAAATACTTCTTGCCAACAGATAACAACGATAAAGATTTTGCAAATCTATCATTTAATAATAAACATTCAACCTCATTTTTTAAAAGTTGTGATCCAAAAGCTCTAATACTTTCATGATGTGATAACAATTCAATAATATTGAAACATAGTTCCACATCACAATCTACTAATTTTTTAATGAAAGATGTTGCTTGTGATAAATTTACAGTTTTGTTAGAAGATCCTTGACAAGAAAACAATTCCTAAAAACAATCAAAAATAAATTATCTTCAAAATACTATATTAAATATTATATAAAAATAAAACTCCAAAAAAAAAAAAACATTATTAAGAATCTTTAAAATTTAACTTATTCCTAATATTATCAAAATAAATGTTTTTCAAAAGAATGTTATGTTGGGTTTCAAATGAAGTGAAATTATACAAAGATTTTAAAAACAATAATCAATTTATAAAAAAATTGTTTAAGATTTTATTGCATAAAAAATGGTACTTAATTATACATAATTTTACTAAAAATATAGTTTTTTAAGTAAAAATAGTTTTTTGACAATCTTTTTTTTTCTTCATGAAATACTTTTGAAACACTTTTTTATTTATATTATTAGGGATCCATTAAATGTTCAAGAGTTTTAGGGGACCCCGAAAAAATAATTTATATTTAGAAATTTGTCAAATCCAGTATTACTGTCAATCCAGTTGGTGTCACTTCTTTATACCATCCTTATGAATCATCAACTTTATTACTACAAGTAATATTATAATTACAACTACCACTATAATATTTATTGTAATTGTTACTATTATTTTTTTTTTGGTTCATTGTTATTATTGTAAACATACATTTTATTATTACTGTTGTTATTATTATCATTATTACTATTATTATTATTATTATTATTATTATTATTATTATTATTATTATATTATTATTATTATATTATTATAATTATGATTACTATTATAAAAATGATTTATGGGGAATAAATAGCTTGTTATTGTTGTTATTGTTGTTATTTAATTATGATTTATGGGGAATAAATAGCTTGTTATTGGTTCATTGTTATTATTGTAAACATACATTTTATTATTATTACTGTTGTTATTATTATCATTATTACTATTATTATTATTATTATTATTATTATTATTATTATTATTATTATTATTATTATTATTATAATTATTATTACTATTATAAAAATGATTTATGGGGAATAAATAGCTTGTTATTGTTGTTATTGTTGTTATTTAATTATGTATAACACATTCAGGTAGTCTATATTTTAAAATTTTAGATATTTTAACAAATTGATGTTATTTGAGACACTATAATCTGCACAAAGAAGTATATATATATATATATATATATATATATATATATATATATATATATATATATATATATATATATATATATATATATATATATATATATATATATATACTTGACTGTAGTGGGGAGGTGAATAATTAAAAAATACATGATGAATAACTTTAATGTCATCAAATTGGACACTCTGCAGTATTTTTAATATATATTTTTTTGTCATTGTTTTTGAGATTGGTAACATCTGATATCCAAATGTTATAATTTTTATATTTGGTATTACCTCATGTTCGTGTCTTATATTTTACGATTTTCAACAGTGTTGAGACAGTGTTGTGAATTGAATTTTTTGGATTGATATTTTTTAAATAGGTAAGCAAATAATAGCAGGAATAATAGCAGTTTTAATTTAACAACATTATTTGATAAATGCGGTAGTGGTGTAGTGGTAGAGCGCTCGCTTCATAAACGAGTGGTTCCGAGTTCGATCCCCACCACGTCCCTGGTAGTACCGCGCTCAACTCGTTTCTCCGCGCAGCGGCCTTGTTCGTCAAGGTTCGTGTTTCGGAGTTATAGAGTTGAGAGAGGGTTATAGCCACAAAATAAGTAGCCTCCTTGTCTGTAGTGACCTTCTCGGCCTTGAGGAGGTGAAGTAAAATTAAAAAAAAAAAAAACTATTTAATTTTAATTTTGTTTTGTTTAACAAGTTAAATAATTATCAACAGTACATCCTAAAATGTCTTCAAGGGAAAGTTATTCGAAATACACAAAGCAATGTAAAAATCAAAATTCTGTTTGGATTCATTTTTTAAGAGGATCAAAAAAATTAACAGCAAAATGTAAAATATGTTATGAAATAGTAAAAACCCAATGACAAAACTGCAGCACATGCATTTAACGGGATGTCATGCAAGATGAAGGTCCAGAACGCAGAGCATCAAAAATCATCAAAAAAAAAAGATAAATCACAAATGTGTGCCTTAGATAAAATGCCATTCAAAGTTTTCTGTACACCTATCGATTTGAGAAATTTGTTTTTGGCTAGAGGCACTCGAGATTATGCATTACCAAAATCACCTGACTCGATTCGCAAAATGGTTTTAGGATACGCACAGAAAATGCGGGCTAAAATGATGTAGGATTTTATAAATTTAAAAGAAGATGGAAAAAAGTTTTGAACTCTAGATAAATGGACACCTTCAAGAAACCGATGTTATTTAAATGTGAATGTCCATGGAAAGAAACAGTTTTAGAACTTATGTTTAGCACCTGTTGAAGGACATTTCCCTGCAGAGAAATGCACTACAGCTTAGAAAACCACATTGTAAGACAACAATCTAAATATCCATAAAGATATTATACCTATAGCAACTGATTGGGAAGCTGTGATGCAAAAAGTTGAACGGCTTTTAGCATGTAATCAGCAGTAATTTTCGTACATGCTAATAGATACATTTAGCTGTAATTGATGTTCTGTATAATAATTCGAATACATCTGAATTGGTGGCTCGCACATATACAGAAAATGTTAGTGTAGAAGATCAAGTAAGTGACTTTAATGAATCGGATGAGGAATACATTGAAAATGAAAATGTTGGCTTGATTGAACAAACTTATAATGAAGCTGAGCTTGTTGAGACTGAAGAACTTGGATTTAGTTTTCTCATAAAAAAAAAAGTTTGTTTAATTGTAAAGAAATTTCGAGAAATCAAATGATATTCTTCAAGTATAGGTGAAACAAGAATTTGGAAAACAATTGAAACTTATTATGGACACTAGAACTAGATGGAATAGCTTAGTCAAAATGCTTGAAAGGTTTAACAAGCTAAAAAGCTGTGTTAGAAAAGCATCGATTGACATTGCATCTGATACTGTTATTATTTGAGATGCTGAAATTTTGTTGATTAAAATTATTATCTCTGCACTTCTCCCAGTAAAGCTTACTGTTGAAGCCCTTTGTCAAGAAGATACAAATCTGCTTTCTGCTGATGCTGATTTACTTTTATGCTTTAGAATTTCGGATCTGATGAACTTTTATTAAAATTAAACAAGAAATTAATAGACCAAATAAGCCAAAGACAAACAAATCTGTCTGGAACTCTTCAGTATTTACACAATGGCAGAAAAAGTGAGATTCATGCATCTTTCACTAGACCATTGAAAAAAACAATAGCCAAAGTTATTGAAAACTTTGCACAAAGATTGATATTTAACACTAAAATGGAAACTTCCTCAGGCGAGCAGTCAGAAGCTGCCAATGTGATAGAAGTGATGTTGGAAGAACAAACTAAGCCCTTAACAATAATGCAAAAGTTGGAGAACAAAATTCAATTGAATCTTCCAACATAACAAATAATAATAGGAGCTTAATTTCAAAAATTAAATCTGAAATAAAATTCTTTGAAGAGAACGGCATTCATGGCAAAACATCAGAGTCCGCATACTCATATTTGATTTTGATTTCGCCATCAAGTGTGGAATCTGAGCAAGCCTTCTCAATTGCTGGTAACTTTTGTACAAAAGTTCGAACGAGACTCGGAAATCAGCTTTAAGTGATCTCTGCTTCCTCAAGGCAATATTTTAGGCAAATAAAACAATAATTTTATATTTTTATTATTAATTAATATATTAGAATGTTTCTGTATTGAATTTGAACTTTATGTTCCATTTTTATTTTTTAAGAAAGTATTTTTTATGCAATAAAAAACAATGAGTTATTTTTATTAATCAAATAAGTTATTTTGATTATTTTCATAGACATAAAAAAATTTAATGTCGAATTCTGAATTCCAATTTTTTTTATTTTCGTCAAAATTTCCCTACTTACTTCAAATATGATTTTCAGTGACTCATTTCGTATATATATAAAATAATATTGATATTGTAAAATGATATATGTAAAGAGCAAGAAAAAAAACTATGTTTGTTTTAAATCAATAGTTTTATCCAAAAAATGTACTTATAGAAAAGCCTTTATATAACTTTTCGAAAATGTAATAAAAATTTTAATATTGCATTATCCCCATAAAATGCTAAAATACAATTAAATGATTTTTGTGACAATATTTGCAGAATGTTTTCAACATCTTGTTATTGTATCAGAGTTTTTTTACTAAAATTCAAAAAATAGATAAGTTTTTCCAGCCAAAAGTACTTTTCTCTAATTCATATATTGAACCACATGGTCACACTCTTCCTGTTACCTCAATGATAGTCAATTGACTGTTAAAAATCCAAACCACTCCTCTGTTGCTGAAATTATTTCTTACTTATATTCTTCTAAAGCTTTGGTTTGAACATTCTTCTACAGCTTGTGGTTTGAACATTTCTGTCACAGTTTTACAAATGTGTTCTCCAGAACTCTCATTATTGCTCTCTATTTAACAAGTGTTTAACTAAATTAGGTTTTTCTGCCTGCTTAAAAATAGTTTCAGTTCTTAAAAAAATATGAAAATTGCTTTGACCCAAACGGTTATCTATTAAAATTACAAAATAATGGTCTTGAATTAAACCAATGGAACAAACTATCCCCCAATCTTATTGTTATTATTAGCAAAGTCATAGAATCTTTAATTAACAAACTGCTAAAATCTTATCCTGAGTCTAACTGCTTACTCTGTGACAATCAATACAACTTTGCTAATCTCATTGTAGCATTGACTTATTAACAAAAAAGATTTGTCGTGCATCAAATAAAATCTAACTTGTGTTAACCATTTTCTTACTATTCGCTCTTTTCTTTAACTGTATATATATCTTATTCGCTTTTGTATAGAATACTGTTGTCATATTTTGTCTAGTTTTTTAAATGATGTTGCTTCTTTTGCAGACATGTTCTAAAGAGAGATAATAAATATTGTTTGAACTGCTCCAATTGCTAAGCATGACCCCCTGCTAAACTGTTGAATAATTAAATCTTTTTCTCTTTTCTATAAATAATACCATAGTTGCTACTCTTGCAACCTATCATCACTTTTTCTATCAACAAAAACTCAATCTCGTGTGATTGGTCATTCAATTATGTTGCATCATTTTACTGTAATTGTTTCTTTATGCTCAAAAAACTATAATTCGTCTAGTTTTTTTCCTTGAACATCTGTTTTCTTGAACATCTGTCTTCATGCTTCCACTTCTTACAGATTTTTAATTCTTCTGACAACCATTTTTTTGCTCTTTATCAATTTTTATTTTCTGTTGCTCCCAACATAATTAGTAGTTGCACCATTTTATTGTCCTTGATGCTATTGTTTGACACAGATTATGAAAAAGCTTCCAATATTTTTGTGCAACATGTGTGACATTCCATAATCCTGAGCATTTACAAGTAAACCTGTAGTAGAAAGTTTTTTGAGTAATTGTTTTTTGCTGAAAAAAAAAATTTAATTTTGTTGATATTATTTAAATTGTGAGTTATGTGAGTTATGTGAGTTATATTTTTTAATATCATTTTAATTGTGAATTATGTGTGTATTTTTTGATATTATTTTTGATATTATATATATATTGTGAATTATATGTGTATTTTTTTATACTATTTTAGTTGTAAAGTATGTGAGTATTTGTTGATGTTATTTTGTTAACTTGTTAATATTATTTTGATTGTGAATTATGTGAGTATTTGTTGATATTATTTTAATGGTGAATTATGTGTGTATTTGTAGATATTATTTTAATTGTGAATGTGTGTATTTTTTAATATTATCTTAATTGTGAATTATGTGAGTATTTGTTGATTTTATTTTGTTAATTTGTTAACATTATTTTAATCATGAACTATGTGTGTATTTGTTGATGTTATTTTGTGAATTATGTGAGTATTTAATAAAATTCAGATAAAGTAAACAAAAAAAGTAATTAAACATATTAAAAAATTGAAACCAAGTATTTAAAAATATTTTATCAACTGTGTGAAACGGTATACTCTGCAAGCTTTTTAATCTAATAGAGTCATTGTTTGAAATTTTTATAGGAAATTTGTAAACATGAAACAAGAAGCAAATAAATAGAGCAGTAAATAATTGAGATAATTTACTAAATTAGTAAATTTCAATTCAAAAATTGAATTTAAAATAAAATTGCAAAATTTTTTATTTACTAATGATCTACAGTTTGAATATGATTTAAAACCATTTTAAAGCATTAAGACTGATTTTATTGTAGTGCATATATTTACCTTTAAAATATTTGCAGATTGGGCATCAATTTCTTTCTTATTTGATTTTAAAATCATTTGAAATTCAAGTTCATTTCGTTCTCTTTCTGGACACAATACATGCTGCAAAAGATAACAAAAATTAAAATAAGTAAATTAAATAAGCATAAAACATTTCTTAAAATTTATTAACTTACTGTCTGACTCAGTATAACTTCATTTTTCACATATTCTCTTAAGGCAATCCAAGAATGCAAATACTCCTCTAATGAATCAGTTCTGTTAATAAAGAAAAAAATATAATTGTCATTATAGGTATCTAAATAATTAGGTATTGCATGTCCACACACTAACCAACCAATGTACACACTGAATTTTTCTATTCTAATTTCAAAATTTCTTGTAAAAATTTGTCTCAGAAGTTGATTATACACATATATGTTTGTGTGATACGCGTTTGTAACATATGTGTGTGATATGCATTTGTAAAATGTTTGTGTGATATGTGTTTGTAACCTGTGTGTGATATGTATGTGATATGTGTTTGTGTGATATGTATGTGATATGTGTTTGTAACCTGTGTGTATGTAACATATATTGTATGAAATTTAATAAGACAGTGTACACCTAAGCACATGAATGTAATTGTTTGTATTGCGTTTAAATGGTGTTGGTTAGGTGCTAATATAAGTAATGATAATTTTTGTAAAAATAATAAAAATAAATAAATTTACAAATAACAAAGAACTTATAAATCATGCAAGCTTGTTGGTTTATTTGTTAAGAATTTTATTTCTTATTCTATTATTGTACCCTCATAAAAAACAAAGAGAAATAAGTAAAAAAAAAAGAGCAACCGTAAAACCAATACATGCTCTGCTTAATTTGTATCTTGTCAAACATCCACATACAGGTGAACAAATTGCTGATTGTTTTGAAAAATGCCTTAAGTATTGGAATATTTCCAGAGAAAAAATATTGCTTGTTATTTTGGACAATGAAGCAAACATGGTCAAACGCATAAATTATTGAGAATGAAAGTAGGGGTGGGAGTTAAGGTTAGTTTTAGTCTAAGTAAAAATACTTAACTAAATTTTTAGTCTAACTAAAATTAGTTAACTAACTTTTTAGTTAACTAAAATTAGTCGACTAACTTTTTAGTTAACTAAAATTACCCGACTAACTTTTTAGTTAACTAAAATTACCCGACTAACTTTCTAGTTAACTAAAATTACCCGAGTAACTTTTTAGTTAACTAAAATTACCCGACTAACTTTCTAGTTAACTAAAATTACCCGACTAACTTTCTAGCTAACTAAAATTACCCGACTAACTTTTTAGCTAACTAAAATTAAGCGACTAAATTTTTAGTCTAACTAAAATTAGTCAACTAACTTTTTAGTTAACTCAAATTAGTCGACTAAATATTTAGTGTAACTAACTTTAGTCGACTAAAGCAAGATTTAGTGCTTGAAAAAAGAAATAATCTTTCGCATAAAAATTTTACACACGAGAAAGCATTATTAAGGCGATAAATATTATTTTATCGTAATTAAACACTTTACTAGTTGTGAATCCTAGAGCTCAGTCGAACTAAACTGTTATTCAAAATAAATGTTTTAAGCAAAATTCAATTATTTTAATTTTTTCCCAGCTCTGAGACAACTGCCAATGAACTTCTTGCAACTGTTTTTAAACACCCAATCAGCATGGAATATATAAATAATGCCTTTTAGTCAATTGTATCAAATTTGGTACGCTTATTGAACATTTAACTTATATTTTTTATGTGCTGTTTCCTATAGGTAGTGTGCAATAACAATCGCAAATCAAAAATAATCTCTCCTGCCAAGGCCGTACCGACGTGAGTATGGGCACCTTCCCGGGGTTACAACATTCTGTCGGTTTTGTCGGTAATTTAGAAAATTTGAGACTTGGTCGGTTAAAACTGCAACTTGGCTTTTAAATAAAAAAAGCCCTACTTTGGTGAGATTTTTATGGTAAGAAGCTTATTTCATTTGCACCCCCTCCCCCTACGTCTTCATTTTTCAGTACAGCCCTGTCCCCTTTCATATTATAGGAATTGATTCAATCTCTAATTTTCACAACAAATCTATGACTTCCCCTCCCCACCTCTTCAAATATCAACCTCTCCTAACGGCTATTACAACCCGCAAACACTATAGTAAGGCAGGCGAAAGTATTGACATGAACCCAAAAGGAAATCGTTAAATAAGTTATTATGAATTTATTTTTTTGCTTTCAGAGTATAGTTGTTCGTCGGTTGGCAATACTTGCAAAATTTAAAAGGAAAATTGGTATTTGCATTTTTGAATGCAATATCCGCAATATAAGTTGTTGAATAGTGTATAAAATGTATTAAATAATACTTAACTGTTGAATAACGAAAACATTTTTTTAAGTAACTGCGGTCGCTTTTAAAACCAGGAAATTGTTTATGACATTTTAATTACTTGAAAAATGCAATACGTAGTTTTTAAGCACTTTAAAATATGTGTAAAACCAAGTCGAAACAATTATCAATTAAAATTCAATAACTTTTTTATTATATTTATTTTTATATTTTTTCATTAGATAGATGTTTAAAAAAATACTAAAGAATATATAAATAAATATTAAAAAAAAAAACCAAACTATTAAAATAATAAAGGTAAAAAAGTTTGCTGTTTTAGGCAACATTATAATAAAACCGCACGCTCAAGAACATTAAAATCACACATTAATTTTTTTAATGTTCAATTTTTTCTTTATCTTTTTTTTTAACACATTTTAAGTTTAAAAAACTATATTAATTTTTGAATTTTTTGTATCAAAAAAAAAAAAATCAGTTTTACACAAAAGAGTTACTAAAGAGTTACGAATACTAATTTTAATAATATATCTTTTAGAACAATAAACATATTAAAAATATTTATTACAAGAAAAAACTTCAGTATTAAATTTAATGAATTTAAACTAAATTAAAAAATTCCAAATTTTCGTACAAAAACATCAATATTGCTTTGCATACGTAAGTATAAGTTTGCATACGTTTCGTTTTGCATGCATAAGTGTTTAATGCCTCAGAGAAAAGGTGTTCACTTAGTGCACAGGTAGCAGGCGTACATAAAATCACTGTTGAAATACAATAAATTATTGGAAATACATGTTAATTTTGATACCAAAAGTGTAAAAACATTTTTCTCATTTACTAACAATTTTATATAACCACTAATTTCTCTTTTTAAATCTAAACTTATTATTTTGTCACTATTGTTTCCGGAAATATCATCTTCATCGTCAAATGATAACTTAAATTTTTTTAATTTGTTTGTCACCTTTTTAAATAGAATTATATCACAAACTTTTTTTGTTTAATGAAATTTCGACAAAAATTCTCTAACGCATTTTAAAAAATTTTTTCCCTTGTACTTTTCAAAGAATTGAAAACTTTTATAATTTGGATCCAAAAAAGTGGCACATAATAAAACCGAATTATTGTAATATACTGTAGCTTACAGGGCCGGCACAAGTAGGTAACACGTAGAGAGTGCTGTTAAAATTTTACTTACTAGAAAAAGGAAAAATAAATTCTTGTTTTTTTAAATTTACCAACTGACTGTTCTGAAAATCTACATTTGCCAACTTACTTATCTAAAAGAGTCAAATTGGCTTACTAAATGAGCTAAAAGTTCATTGATGGGATGCCACACATGAAACCAACCAACCCATCCTTACACCCCTTTGCGTTGGCCTTGGTAGCTTATTCAATTCTATAGATATTTGTGTTTTACAATGTTTACTTTTTGGATTATTTATGAAAAATTTTCTTGCAGTATCTTGTTTATAATATTTTCTTGAAGTATATTGATACACTGATACTAAACCTTTGGAACTGAAAATTGAAAGAAAATTATTTTGATATTTTTTTATTTTTGCGGTATTATGCGATAAAATGATTATGCATTCGCAATCTTATTCAAAAATTCTAATAGAAATGATATCATGAACCCAAATTATTTATATAAAATTCTTTAGTTGAACTAAAAACAAAGTCGCATATATTTAGTTAACAAAAAGCTTAGTCGGTTAATTTTAGTTAACTAAAAAGTTAGCCTGGTAATTTTAGTTAACTAAAAAGTTAGTCGACAGATTTTAGTTAACTAAAAAGTTAGTCGACTAATTTTAGTTAACTAAAAAGTTAGTCAACTAATTTAAGTGACGGTATGTTTAGTTTATTTAGTTACAATTTTTAGTTTTGGTCACAACACTAAATGAAAGCTCAAACTGAACGTGATATACTTATTGAATTAGAAAATGAGGTTAATGAAGAGCAGATAACAGATCCGGAAGACCATGATAATATGACAAATAGTGAAGAGTGGGAACAAGTTGACTTGATAGTTGATGTAATAGAAAACGTAGCATTTAGAAGATTGGGATGCATTGCACATGTTATACAGCTAGTAAAACTTGCATATAATGGTAAACATGGCTTACTTTTAAAGATACCTGGATTAGTGGGAAAAGTTTGCAAATCTTCTGTTGCATTGGAAAAAAATATTAACAAATGTGGTAAGACTGTGATCAGCAACAATAGCGAATGGATAATCAGCGCTCGAAATAGTTTTTCAAAACTTGCCGATCAAATTTAATTTTTTGACAAAAACAGCTTATTTTCCCTTGAATTTTTCTAAATTTCCCTAAAAATAGCCGATCATTGATCGTTGATCGGCTGTTATTTCGAGCGCTGGATAATGCTTCAGAAATTTGTCAATCTTTTAGAACCTTTTGCCAATGAAACTGATATTCTTCAGACAGATGGGCTTTCGCTATCCGGTGTTATACCTTCAATACTTAATTTAAAATGTCACCTTGAGCAATTTGGAGATGCCAAAGATGCAGTAGTTAAAATGCTTGAATATCTACGCCATCATTTTGCCTTTCTTTTGCAGCCAAACGATCCTAATTTTAATCCACTGCCAAGTGCCGCATGTCTACTTGACCCCACATGTGCAATAGCTCTTTTAGATAATGAGCATACACAAATCAAAGAGTGTGCAAAGGAATACATTTTGTCAGAGGCTAAAAAATCAGTGCAATATGATTTACCTTTAGCAAGCGCATCTACTCTTTCTGCCAAGATTGCTCCAGAAATGAATGCATTAACAAAATGGAAATTTTTAGCGGCAAAACAGCAAGTAGATAAAATAAAGCTTATTCCAGGAAATGAAGCACAAAATGAACTTAACAAAAATTTTATTGAAATAAGGAACAGTTTAATGTGACAAAATGCTTTAAATTTCTGGAAGATGAGACATGCTGTTTACCCACATATTGCACCACTAGCTTAAGATCTCATTGCAGCTCCTGCAACTCAAGCATATGTCGAAAGACTTTTTTCAATCTGTGGCTTGCTCACAAATGGATGGAAAAATCGAATGTCAGCATCATTGGAAATGCGAGTTTTCTTAAAATTAAATTCTCATCTAGTCTAGATAATGATCATATAATCACTAGGCCCTTTATTTGTAAAATATAAGAGTAATTATTAAAGTCTATACAATAACTGTTCATTAGTTTTTATTGTTACCAAATTTGAGGAGTTTTTTTTTTTTTTTAGTTATACCTAATAATTGAAATTTTTTTAAGTTTTAGAGCAATAAGGACAGGTTGTTATTGTATTTTTTATTAAGGGCGGTGGACGGAGCTCTGAACTTCTAGCAATGGGACTGGGTGTATAATGTTACATTTAACTAAGTTCTCATTTTTTTGTTTGTTTATAGAATTAAGAATTACTTCTTTTAATTATACATACCTATATTATTTGTAAATTATATTAAATTATAATTAGATGAGATAAAAAATTTATAGAACAAATTAAAATTGAACTAAATAAAAACTAAAACCAAAATTATTTTCCGAACAAAAATTTTGCTGGTGCACGCCTGGAGTAGATAACTGACTTGTTAAAAAAACAAAAACAGAAAGTCATCAATAATAGCAAATCTGAAAGGGCAGATGTTACTAGCAGAGTTCCTTAAGATTTATTGTTAGGTCCACTTCTGTTTCTGATTTATATAAACGACCTGCCAAACAACATGGTGCACCATATAATGATCTATGCAGATGACAGTGAGATCTTAGGAGTAATTAAAACAGAAGGTGCTGTAATAAAACTACAACAAGACATGTTGCTCATGTTTTTCAACCTCCACAAATATAAAGTCATGTATGCTGGTCACTCAAATAGGTCAGTGTGTCTTTATTCAATGCTTAACAGAGACTGCAATCAAATAGAACTTAGAACAACAATTATTGAACGTGACTTAGGTGTCCTAACATCAACCAAACTCAAGGTTATACTTTAAGTATACTCAATTTTACCACTTAAGAAGAGCACAAAAAAAAAAAAAAGTGGGGGGGGGACTGATTCAGCAGTATAACACTATACACTAGCAGAAGATCAATCAGGTCTTGTCATGGAGAACAACTTGTAATTCAAAACCCTAATAAATTTCAAATACATACATAATATCAATAAATACTTTTATAGATAAAAGTTTTTTTGATATTCTATAAATTTAAAAACTTTAAAAATATTTAAAAAAATATGTATATATATATATATATATATATATATATATATATATATATATATATATATATATATATATATATATATATATATATTTATATATATATATATATATATATATATATATATATATATATATATATATATATATATATATATATATATATATATATATATATATATATATATATATATATATATATATATATATATATATATATATATATATATATATAATACGACCTTAATCTTTTAGAAGTCGACATTAGGTCGGCAAAAAAAATTTGATACAAAGGTCTTACCATTAATCATAAAAACGAGGTCGGCAATTTTTTGCCACCCTCAAACACTTTTAGGTCGGCATTGCTGAATGCCGACCCTAATTCCGAGGGTTGATATATATATATATATATATATATATATATATATATATATATATATATATATATATATATATATATATATATATATATATATATATATATATATATATATATATATATGTATATATATATATATATATATATATATATATACTATAGATTATATAAATAGAAATAGTTACTAGTTTTTTCAACTTTTATAACATATAGCATTTTCTGAAAATAAAGAAAAAAACAAAGAGTAATAAAGGAAAAGATTGCTGCCTCATATCAAACTCTCAGTCGATGTAGTGGCACTCCTTTGTGACAGCAGGCTATAAGATAGTTAATGTATGTACTGAAGTCTCTGGCAGATCAGAGATCTAAACATGAATTCATAGTTTGATTGTGTCAAGCTTGATTTTTCAGAATTAATTTTAAAAAATTATTACAGAATAAACTTATTATTTCTTAAATTGTATTTCTTTTAATCTTTTAACAAATACAAATAAATGGGGAGGATCAAAAAAATTGAGCTGATATATATTAAGAAGTTTTAATTCCAAATAATGAAGCTTGACAAAATCTTTAAAATTGAAACAACAAGCGACAAGCTTTTATTGACAATAAAAAGTTAACATTTAATGGCACTACAAAAAGCAATAATTGCATAGTTCAAATGCATAAATTTTTCCTTTATGCATATAAACATTTCCTTTATGCTATATTTTTCCTTTATGCATAGAAAATGCATAAAGGAAAAATATAGCTGAATTAAACTAATTTTTTAAGGCACTTTTGGTTTTTACAATAATCCTATACTTTTAGCAACTTTATTACACTGATACAGTATTTTTTAAGTTTTTGATCAACATAGACACCTAAAAGGTTTGTACTAGTTACTCTTTTTATTTGAATTATTTACTTTTATTTGAATTATATACTTTTATTTGAATTATATACTTTTATTTGAATTTTATACTTTTATTTGAATTATATACTTTTATTTGAACTATATACTTTTATTTGAATTGTACACATTTATTTGAATTAGGTATAATAAAGTTATATTGCATAATAAAAGTTTCTTTTTAGAAACTGAATGAAAGAGTGTCCATTTTATTTTTTCATAATTAAATAAAAGCTTACTTGTTTTAAATCAAATTTCTTTGCTACTTTGATATTTATATTTGGAAAAGATGTACTGTTATTATCAGATAAAATAAAATTGGTGTCATCAGCAAACATGACTGCCATCAAGCCTTATGCAGATCATTAATCCAGATGAGAAAGAGAAAGGGTCCAAGTATAGAACTTCACAGGTTATATTTAATGAATTCAATGAGTCAATTTCATTATTATAAACAAACTGTTTTTGGTTACTTAAATATATGTATATATGCAACTCGTGGAAAATTATAATTAAAAAAATAATAATTCATTAAAACATAGTAATGAATTTAAGGTCTTTTTATAAGTATCAGGTGAAAGTCAAAAATAACTTTAGTTTTAATTTTCATATTGGGTTTTTGCTCACACAAACAATTTAATCATATAAGTTAGAATAAGCAAAAAAAAAGAAACAACAACCAAATGCTAATTTTTTGTATTTTCTAACTTTTCTTACATTTAAATTTTGAAGTAAACAACTAAAATACTGGTATTCTTTTAATACAGGTACTTGATACAAAAATTTAATTCCAGTTTTCTGTATTGTGGTATAACAGCATTGTTTCCTAATTTTGATGAAGCAACCCTAACCACACACAACCCTAACACAATTTTTTGTACTATAAATGCAAGCCTGATTATGTTCTAATTGAAAATATTGTTATATAAATATATAAAAAACTTGAAAAAAGATCTAAAGATATTAAAAGTAAACATTCATAAAATGGATCTAAGATTCGAAAATTCTTGAAAAAAATGATATAAAAACAAGAACTGTCAGTTTAAAATGACAGATTTCAATTCTGGATTCAAGTTTACTTGATATATATATATATATATATATATATATATATATATATATATATATATATATATATATATATATATATATATATATATATATATATATATATATATATATATATATATATATATATATATATATATATATGTATGTATTACAATATTTGAAAAATATTACATTTTGAATATATTTAACTTTATCCGCTTTCATATTAACTTATAAGAATTTTAAAGAAAGAATAAAAAAGTTAAATATAGATGTAGATAAAAAGTTAAAGATATCTCAAAAGTTGACACTCGAACAAAAGATTAATTGCAAATATAACTTTTTTCATATTGCTGACAATCTTTTTTTAGTCAATATGATCTTGTTTAGACTTAAGTTTAAGAAATTGTATGTCATTATTAAAAAGTTTAAAACCATCATTTAAAATCTTAACAACTTCTATTTTATCAAATCAAAATTTAAATTATAATAAAATATAAGCTATATAAAATGTACATGTGCGCATTTATGTGTGTGTATGTGTGTAGGCTGACCAGAGTACTCTTCTTGATGTAGGAGAATGTAGTAACAAAACATATGTGTGTGTTTAAATTCAAGGATACATTAATTACCTTTGCTGATATTTAGATGTTCGTAATATAAGAGAAACAAGAAGATCTTTGTAATTATCCTGTGAGACATTTCTTATCACTTGTAAAATAGCATCTGCTAGCTCATATTGATTTATATTAATACGATACCAAAATGAATCCTCTAACTCTTCAAGATTCATAACATTTACATTTCTTAAAAACCTTATAGCAACTAAAATTAAAGCAAAAATTAAAAATTATATAAAAAATAAACGAAAACATTTCTGCACACTTTGTTGTGAAATCGTAATAAAAAAAGTAATAAAGTTGCAAAAGTTTAAAAAATCCATGAGTAAAAAGTTTATTTGTAAAGGGGAAAAAGGTAAATTAGGCAAAACTTTTCAAAATATTCATTTTACAAGAGTGGAAATGCAAAAATTAGCGTATTTTGAACACGTTATTGATATTTGATACATAAAATTACAAATTTTAGAAAATAGTTGTAATTAATGATTAATTAGTTGTTATAATATGTTCTTAATTTAAATTAATTAAATTTAGGTGAAAAATACTTTTATTAAATATCTCAAACAAATTTTAATGTCATATTTCAAATAAGAATTTAAAAAAAAATTGAATTTAGATTAAAAAAATCATAATTTTATTAAATATTCGAGTTAATAACAAAGAAAATCTTGTCAAATCTTAAATAAGTTGGGCATTTAATATGTGGGTTTCAATCCGCGAAAAATTTTGACGTAAATCGCAAGATCCAGTTAAAACCAAAACAAGATATTTGGAAAGCCAAGCTCACCATAAGCACAATTAATAGGGCTATCTGATTTGCTGATTTTAAGAACAGAAACGCGAGCGCTTGTCAATTAAAATAAAAACAGATATCAATTATAAAAGCGAAAAAAATTAAACATAGAAAAGTGAAATATAATTAAACATAAAGAAATTAAATAACAATGAGTAGCAATTAAGGATATGTTTTCAATTTGCTTTTGTCCATATGCTTGGCATATTCGGATATAATAGATGTATGAAACAATTAATTTTAAAATCAAACGCAGATTGTAAAATGCACGAAACTTGGGTGCTAGAAATCTACTTCGATTTGTATTTATTCAAAAAGTAATACTAATTGTTGCCGACTCAATAGTGTGAATGACGCGGAGACTGAAGTGAATTTTGCAAACAAAAAATTTTAAACTCTTTACAAATATGCAAATCTAAAAAAAAAAATGATGAGTATATATATATATATATATATATATATATATATATATATATATATATATATATATATATATATACTCATCATTTATTTTTTTAGATTTGCATATTTGTAAAGAGTTTGAAATTTTTGGTTTATGCGACACAATGATCGCAAAAAGTGACCAACGGAGCCGTCCAGTTTCGTAGACCTGGGAGATGTGAAAATAAAAACAGATTGAAGATGATGTCATTTAGGTAAAAAAACATAAATTAATGCAAAGACTATTTAGTTGGAAGAGTAAAAGTTAGCAACTCAGGAAAAGGGGAATAAAAACTCACACTCTAGTCATCTTTTAACAAATGATGAAATAATGATCTATGAGTAAACAAGTCAGTAAAAATCCGCTGATTTATAATGGTATTCATAACTAAAATAATCGCACCATACAAGTGTCTAATAAATGTGGTACTATATATGTTCTAAACTCTAGATAAAAAATTGATAACTGATAACCACCTGTGTAACATAAAAAATATATAAATGTCGTTAATGTAACAAATTCATAATAAAAAGCTCACAAAGCGCAAAAATACATGGGTTTAAGAGGTAAAAAAATGTTGGTGTCATAATAACCAATTAGAATTAAGTAGTGGATAAATGGTGATCCCCCTCCTCAGGAATGCACTGCGATCACCAATGACGTTTCGGAGAGCCCAAGACCTGCACTAACGCCACTCGTCAGGGGCGTGTCCTTGCAACAGATCTCACCGCCTGCACTCTTATACATATATATATATATATATATATATATATATATATATATATATATATATATATATATATATATATATATATATATATATATATATATATATATAATATATATATATATATATATATATATATATCATGTTGGGTCTCAAAAGAAGCGAAATTTTATAAAAAAATTTCAAAAACATTAAAAATTTTACACAATATTTATTATTATAAGTTTTAATGCATAAAAATTATTATTTAACAAAAAATTAAAAAAAGCCATTTTTTCATGGTTTTTGGTCGAAATTTTTTTTTAAGGTATTTTTAACAAAAAATCATAACTATTTTTGAAATTTTTATAAAGATTTGCTTCTTTTGAGACCCAACATGATATACATTTGAAAAACTTTTTTTTCTTCTGTTTAGGGTCTCGTCGCAAGTTTCAGATTTGAGGTGACCCCCCCCCCCTAAATCTCATTCAATTTTGAAAAAATTTAACAGTGTCTTGTGAGTGTCTTGTGAGTACCAATAGAAAGTTTTAAGAATAGAGACAGATCAATTTTTGAAAGTATGGGGCGTTTGATGCACCCTAATATATATATATATATATATATATATATATATATATATATATATATATATATATATATATATATATATATATATATATATATATATATATATATATATATATATATATATATATATATATATATATATATATATATATATATATATATATATATTATATATATATATATATATATATATATATATATATATATATATATATATCCTCCAGAGCCATCATTAGATAAGGCGAGGCCTGGAGCAAAACATTTTTTCGAGGCCTTCTTGAAAGTCATTATTTTAGGCGCTTTGACGAAGAAAAACTTTTTCTCTTACTGTCTGAAAAGTGGTTGTATAAGTGCAAAACATAAATTTTGGGTTGATAGAATTTTGAGTTGTTACTTTTGTGTATGTTTATAAAAAGGATTGAGTTATAAAATAATCTAGAATAACAATAAAGTTTATTCTTAAAGTTATTAAAGGCTAAATAATGTAAAATAAATATTAATTTTTGTCTGACAAAGAATAAATGAATTAGAATAACAAATAAATTTTTCCTTTTTTTTGGGTTATTATTGAATAATCAGTTATAAATAATATAACATATTTTTACAAAATAGTAATCTTATTCGCACAATATTATGTTTTCGGCAATCGATATGAAGGGTGCTCGTAGGTAGGTAGATGTTATATGTGTTCACGCTGTAAAATAATAGACATTAATTTTATAATAGAATACTGGCAAACATTTATAAATAATAGTACAGTGTTATTAATACTGTAAAAACAATTGTCCAGGGTTAGATAATTTTAAGTATTGCTTCAAAAGGATGAAAATTTAGATGTCACAATTAATAGCCTTTCTTGACCCATAGACGAACTTAATTATGTCTTAATAAGTTTCAAGCGAGAAAAACTCCTTCTGCGCTTGCCACAGTTACAGGTATAGTTAAGAAAATTCTATACGTTATAAATACATTCGGAAATGGGTTTTAAATCTGGTGAATAAATCTCAAAATCCTTGCAGTTGTTTACACCTCACCCGGTAGAAGTTTTTAAAGAACCTTAAGTTCAGATAAAAGGTCATTTCCACAAACATTCTTTTCTTCTTTAAAACTTAGGAACGATTCTATGTCTTTACACCTTTGAAACAATTTATCTTCTTTTACTACTTTTAGTTTTTTACATGATAAAAAAATGAAAACATAGTAACGTAATTAGTTATTTGTTCAAAACTTCTGCAATAACAAAAAAATACTCCACTTTAAACATTTGCTTGGCAGACCCTTCCATAGGATCTCCTTCGTACTCAAACATTCTTCTTTTCTTTCTTTTCCTGGCTTCTTTAAAATTTGGCTCTACACCAAGAGTTTCACGAAGTTTTCTTGCTAACAATGTTGCCGCAAATCTAAATTTCTGAAAAAAATTGAACTAGCCTTTGAAGTAACTGCGACGCAACTCCGAGGTTCATTTTTTGAGTCTTTAGGCTTTTTTTCATAACTTATTTCATTCATAACTGATGGCGTTTTACTATTGGCATTTTTTTTGGATCCTCAGTAAACTCAACTAGTTCAACTAATGCAGTATGAACTTCCTTAATTTGATATCGAAGCGCTTTTACGCTTTCCAGTTTACTTTTCCAACGAGTGTCACAGGACCTTTTAACAGCCCGATTTAGTACGTATTGAATAAAAATTTGGCATTGCATTTTTGACGAAGAAAAAAGTACATAAATTCTTTGCACAACACCAAAAAACGTCATAGTTTTAGATAATCATTTTGCTGCGTCCCAAATCAGGAAGATAAGGCTATGGCTATCGCAGGGCATGTAAAATACTTTTGGATTTATTTCTAAGATGTGTGCCTGTATTCAAGAGTGAATACAGTGTACTCAAGAGTGAATACTTTTTATATTGGAACTGTTGTCATACCATTGTCCACTTTAGTCCCTGATTTGCAATCTAATTTCATCTAACTCTTGTAAAAGAACATCAGTTAGATTTTTTCCCGTTGATTTAACGTCTAAGAATCCATGGAAATGTTCTTCGATGCTTAGATCTTCATTTTCATTCTTAAGAGAAATTGAATTCATTTTAATTTTAACAAAACGCATGATCAATGATAACTGGTCCTTCTGAGTAAGATCCGGTGTGCAGTCTATTCATTTTTTACGTTTTTTTTATTTGACTTTTTTTTATTAATTTTATTTTACTTATGTTAAGGGAGATGGGGGCGCATTGATCGCCGGGGCAGTATGATCTTTCAGCTCATTTACTTTTGCTTTAATTTAACAGAGATTGCAATTTAATTACCCATTACACTACCCTTCATTGCTTAATCGTAATAATTTTTGATAAGATCAACTTCAGCGTTAAGAAAATTGAAAAGACTGTTTTTCATCATGAAAAGTGATTTTTGAAAGTTGTAAATTAATTCAAATAAATTTTTAATTAGATTTCCGTATAACTTTGCATCCAATTTATTGTAAACTCATATGTGTTAAGTTTATAATAAAAATTTTTTTTTGAGTTGGTTACTGTATTTATAGAAGTTATTGGCATCAATATATCAACTGTACCTAATGTACAACTGTACCTAATGGCACATTGATCGTTGACTATGCAGGGTTCATTGATCGGAGGATCAAAGTGCCCCATATAACTTATATTATAAGACTTAAATTTTTTGTTTAAATT